AGTACTCAACTGCTGCACCTGGTACATGGCGGCTTTCAAATTTTTCTCCTCATTGAATGAGTAGATGAATACAATAATACACACTGAACCTGGGAGAAAATACTGGGGGTACCATAAAGAAATGTATTTGGTCTTAGTGATCTGATCATGAAGTAGATTTAGGATGGTATTAATAGTGAACAAATGAATATTTTAAATCTGAAGGTGAGTTCCTTCAATCTACCATCACTTTATTCATGAGCTTGACCTGGAACTTAGATAGAAATGATGATTAATAAATCCCAATGTGTTATTATACTTTTAAAATATCACACTACCCTTGGAAGAATCTCTTGTCTTTTCTTTCATCACTACTAGAAAAACCTTGTAGACTTTACTGTTGAAAAACAGACAGGTATGTAAGAGAAATGCAGAAATGCTTTTTATAGAGAGTTATAGCAACTTTAGGAGGTTGTTAAGGAATGTGGTATAGGAAATACATAACTGTACTTTAAAGTAGATGTATTTTAAACTAGCAAGTGAGGAGATGTGTTCTGAATGTCTTCTTCAGGTCCCTCTCAGTTTGTGATAATATATAGAAAAAAATCTTGTGAGTATTTTTTATCAAAGCTCTGTGTGGAGCTCTAAGATTGGAATTCACACCATCTGAAAATTTACTGTAATTTTTAAATTCATTCCCCTATCTGTTTTAAACCTGTTTTTGACTTCTTGCTTAGCATCTTAAATTTCAATCACTATGACATATCCTCTCCCTTCCCTACCTCCTATTGCAAAACAGGACATCTTCAGCTCTAGGGTCAGCAGATGGCCTTTTATGAATGTCATTTATTTTCTTGTGATGATTGGTTAGGTCAAAATTTACGTCATAAACACCAAAGTTCTTCTTAAAATATCTTCTAAATGTTGCTTTGCTCACTCTTAGGTGATCCCAGTCCTGTGACTTTTCTTTTCTATACACACCGGCAAGGGCAAAAAGACACTGAAGGATATGCTAATTTATGTTTGCTCTGAAGTGATCTTGGTCACAGCTTCAAACATGACATAACCCAATGGCAAAAAGTATAATGGAGCAGCTGTTGACTTTTCAGAAACATGAAATTGCCTTTCCTCCTCCTGTAAATAGCTTTGCGATTTGGCAAGCAATTTATAACCTTTGCGCCATTGGGCTTGTTACCCCCTTAACTGACCGACTACTTTCTGGTTGTTACTGCATTAGCTATGCATCCATCACTGTTGAAATAAGGTAGTCCTTGCTATGGCTTGCAGCTAGTTCCTCCCGAAAGACTCACGTGCTCATAAGTGAGGGTTTTGGAGGTGGCTGTATAGAGGATGTGTGAATATGGATTAAAAGTAGGTGATAATTAAATCAGCCCACTGACTGGTTTAGTATACTTCTGAGTGTGGATAATAGGAAGCCCCACCCTGAATGTAGGGTGGCACAAATCAATAAACTTGTAGCCTGGATGGCATAGAAAGGGGATAGGAAGCTCACCGGTACCGCGTCTTTCCTACTCTGCCATGGACTGTTTCTCCTCTGCAGGACCCCTCTGCTATGCTGCCCTACCTTGGGGCCAGCTGACTGTGGACTAAAATCTGTACACATTGTGAACCGCAATAAACTTTTCCTCCTTTGACTTGTGCATGTCAAGTATTTTGTGTCGGCAATGAAAAAGTAACAGAGACAGCAATTCCTTGGTTAGTTGGTAAATAAAGGAGAAAAATAAGTATTTCAACTTCTGTTAGAATATAAACCTCACAAAGGATAGATGTTGATTTTACCACTAGTAGTTGCTGGAATCTTAGTGTCCAACAGGTCAATAAAAATATTTGGAGAGGACAAAAATCAGTGAGGTTGAGATAGTCACATAGAGATTATTGCAAGCAGCATAGGGAGGGAGAAAAGGAGATAGGAACAGGAATAGAAATGAGACGATGACACTTGGATTTTTGATTGTCTCTCTAAGCTCTACTTTTACTGGCTTTTTCTTTAACATATAATGATGTACATGGAAATAAGAGTTTTTAAACTACTCACATTCAATAATCCTTTCTTACTTTTCTTCTAAAGCACCTGAAAGAAAGTGACAGTCAGCTTTCTGTGGCTCTGATAAAATACTTGAGAAAAAAATCAAAGTAAAAGGAGGAAACATTTATTCTGGCTCACACTTTCCAGAGTTTCAGAACATGCTTTCTTGGCCTAGTTGGTTTTAGCCTGTGGTGGCAGTTGCTCACCTCTTGGCGGTTGGGAAGCAAAGACAGAAAAGTGGCCAGGTCCCTATATCCCTTTCAAGGGCATGGAGCCCAGTGACCTAGCTTCTTTCCACTAGGCTTTACCTTCCGATGTTTCCATTACCTCCCTTCCAATAGTGCCATTGCCCGGGGACCACACCATCCACACATGAGTTTCAGAGGAACATATAGCATTTTATCTTTACCATTCCCACGTACTTCACCACATTCTAAAACTGCTCCTTGAAGTTCATTGAAAATTTTGAGTGCTGTCTATATTAAAATGTAGATCCTGTTTCAAAATTTACACCTCTTTTGGCTTCTTCTGTCTCACTGCTTTTCAATTCTCTGTCTATCTCTTTGGCCATTTGTCTTAGTCTGTTTTCTGTTCCTAATAGCACAATCCCACAGTTCAGAAAAGTTATAAAGAAAAAAGGTTTAATTTGGCCCAAGGTCAATGGGCTGCATTTAGTGCTGGCCTTTCTGCTGGCCAGGTCCTAAGAGGCTACGGAGCCTCACATGGCAAAAGGCAGGGGGTGTGCACATCTCTCTGATTTTTCTTTTTATAAATCTACCCATATTCAATCCTGGGGACTCCACTCTGATTAATTTATTGAATCCTAACTGCACCCCAAAGGTCTTACCTCAAAATACCATAGCTGGATTAATTTTCCATCCTTTTATACAACACAATGAGAATCCAACTCCACCATGAGCTTCAAAGAGGACAAACTTTACTCAAACTACAACTCTATTCCCATATTAAGTCTCCTTGGTGAGCTTGCCTTCCTCAGGTACCTATGAATGGAGTGAATACTGGTTCCTAGTCTGCTGCTCTCTCACTGGGAATCCTCTCCTGCACACCTTTTTTGGCACTCCCAGAATTCTGGTTATCATCATAAACACAGTAGCTTGTGTTTAACATTCACACTGATGTTAATCAAACTGTATTGTAATTGCCTCTTTGACAGGATATTGTTTTGAAATATTAATTATAATTTTCCTTCAGCCCATGCCTGTCACGTTTTTTATTCATTCTGCTTTCCTTTCATGTAGTGAGCAGGTTTGCTTTTGGAGAGGAAATGCTTTTGAATTGATAATATGAATTTTAACCAAAATTTCTTAGAATATAGAATTAATGACAGGAAACCCTAGGCCAGAAGGAGTTAATAGATTTACAGTAGATTAGGAAGAAACAATAATGAGCCCATCTCCACCGAAGATTGTTTTGGACCACATGTGTAGTGGGTGAGAAATCAGTGGAGAAATAATGAAACAGAAGAGTGTCCCTGAGAAGTTTGTAGAGACCAGAGCCTGAATGTGGTCTTTTATTTAAAAGGGATCATTTTCAAGTCCAATTAGAAACCAAGGAGAAGATGAATTAGCATCTTCTGAAGGTCGTGGATATATTAGTTCAGGTCTCTTGTCTCAATGCTATTGAGAAAGAAGTAGCTAAGTAGTAGCTTTATTTTTAAAAATTAATTTACAGCCAGGAGGATATTTCTGAAGAGTGACAGTAGAGGTGTATTCTTGCTAAAATTTGCTGGATGTAGTTTAGTCATAGGAACTTCAGAATGACCAGGAAATAGATGTAGTCTTTCTGGGTTTCTGCCACTGATGAGACCTTTATCAGTTTTTATTCGTGTATCTGAATGTAAGCAAGAGTCTAAAAATATAGACTTTATAACATTTCAAAGAAGATCTTTATGTGAGCTCTGTTGAAATAAATTTCTAATGCTTATTTCAATTATTTATTAAATACATTATTGGGGCATAAGTTTGTAAAGTGTGGTGATGTATTAACTTACCTGTTACCCTCCATCACAGTTCACTAAAGGTCAGGAATTTGCTGTATGTGTTTCCATGTGTACCAAGAAATGAACAATACAGAAGCCACTTGAAAACATGTGCTGAGAATGTAACTGGAAGTTCCTTAATTTATTATTATTTTTCCTTAGTTTTGCTTTCTTCCATGCTACTGGCTTTGGCCATATTCGTAAAGGGCCATTCTGTCACCGAGTTTAGTGCAGGATGCTAATTTGACCCTGTGCATCATTCTGAGACCATTTCACTGAGTTTACTCTCAGCACAGACTTCTGGAAATGGTCCTGTGAGGTATATTTGGAAGAAACTCTATGGAATTAGAGGCATTGACACATGTAGGATGCTAAGGAATCTCCGAATTATTCATGGATGTGCCGTGATGGGACTAGATTGCTAGTTGGGTACTTCACTCTTTCCTGAGACCCTGGTCAAAGTGCAAAGCACCGCAATCATCACCGCACCGAGCACCACGCATTAAGTGATGTCCACATCACTCACACAGTCGACCCACGTGTTTTCCCTGTTGACTGCTCCTTTCCTAGACTGTGGCAGTGAGTTGTTAACATGATCACTGACCACAGGCTTCTGATACAGGAACAGATGGCCTTCAGGTAGCAGAGATGACTTTTTAAAACCTGAGCAACTCTTGACCTATATCCTAGGCCTCTGTCGTTCTAAAACACTGTCAGTCAGGTCAGATAAAATGCTCACTTTCTTAAAATGTAATAAATATTGTAAGTTAGTCCTATGCTTAAGTATAAATTCATATGTTGGATACTTATAGCTCTAGCTAAAAATGTATTCATTCTGCCTCCAGTTCATATTAGTGTTGCCCCTGGGATTGGTTGGTGAAAGGGGAGATTACAGGAAATGAAAACAGATGTTGGAAGATCAAAAGTGAACAGACAGTGGGAGGGTATTTTTCAAAAATTCACCAGTCTAAGAAATTCAGGAATATAGTCTCTTAGATATTTATTGTAATCTTCAAAAAATAATACAAGGTAAACTCAAAGAACAAAACCCACTTTCCATACAGAATTCACATATAAACTTAATATCTAATAGAGCACATACCATTTTTACACAATTAATTTCAATAAAGATAAAACTTCACAATGTGAATACATTTTATAGCTTTAAACCCAGACAAGAGCTCCTGTGGACACATTAAGAGTCACAATATTCGCTATGCAGCAGTAGTTTTCAACTAAACATCACAATCACTATATGAAAGCATTAAGCTGTTTTCAATATTTTCTCAAGAAGAGATCCACAGCGCAGTCACTGAGAAGGAGCCCAAAGTGCCCGGTCACAAGGGGGATCTTTATCACGTGTTTCCTAATTCCCTTCTTAGGAAACATGGAGCTTCAGAAAAATCTCTGGGTACACATCTGCATGGGTGACATTAGGTTAAATAATGTCTCAAGGTTTGGTACACTGGCAAATGTCTACATTAATTGCTCTAATGTGGCTTAAAAGCAATTGGGTTTCAGGGTTCATTGTGAGGCAGCTCTGCACAGAGGAGCGTGATGAAATAGCAGCTTGTCTTCCAAATGGAAACCAAAATGCAGGGAGCTAAGCTGGGGCAATTAGAGGTTTTTCAGAGGGTCACTCTGGTTGTTTTGAGAAAACAGTGATCTATAGCTGCCAAATCTCCTTCCATTCACAGGGAATGTACTGTGGTCTCTCCCACTTATCGGCCTGGCACCGTCTTCTCACTATCTAATTCTTTCTGGGATTATATGTGACCTCATCAGTGGAGCTGCTCCTCACTCTTCCAGTTCCTAGAGGTTCCCAGCTCTGTGCTCCTGTATTCTGACATAACCTAGCATTTAAATTACACCTTGCATTTCTTTCCTTACTCCCATTAGAGACAGGAGCTATGCCTCTTCCACATTTGATTCCCATAGTAACGAGTACACAGCATTCAATAATGATGTGACAGCAAACAAAACATTTAACCACACTTTTAAATAATCATCCTAATGTTGGCTACTTGCTTACATTTTTCTTTCCTTTAAAAAAATTTGGCACAAAGTTGTCACTAATCTCTGTCTTCCTCATCTTCCCTTGACCTCTTCAGTAGGTTTAGAGAGCTGAGTACAACTTTCAGTCACAGTTCAGTGTGGGCCATACACTGGCCACACGGCCCAAAGCCATTTCGTAGGGTTGGCACATCCTCACACGTCAATTTCCAGTCAAGGGCCATAGAGAGAACCGAAGGCAGTGTCACATGTACAGACTTCCACAGCTCTCAGAACGAGCTGCACTTCAACGTTATAAATGAATACGCTGCAACTTGTTTTTCTTCCTAGGTGTATCACAGCTTACCCTGATAACTAAAGGAAAAGAAAAAACCCAACAACAGAATAACATGTTTGAATGTGGCTTTACTCTAAAAGTTGAAATGGCAAGTAAGAATTTAAATTGTTGACCTACATTAACCTTCATACGCATAATTATGTAGTTTTTAGCAATCCAGAAATTAGGTGTTCATTTTTGCATCTCAGAGAAGTTTTGGGCCAACAATTGTGTGTTTAACCAAAGGGGTTCAGGAATGTATAGATAAGGCTATGATAACATGCCAAAGTGAATTAAGGACGCTGAGTTTTCTTCCATTATCACCAGTGTGGACAACTGAGAATCAAAAGTGAATATATAACATCAGTATAATCTAAAAAGACATTGATATGTTAAGATTCCCATTGTTGACTGTTAAATCTGCAAACAAAGCCCAAGGTTGAGTAACAATAAAATGTACATACAAATACAAGAATGGAAATTCTTAGTAGACAGAACATGTGATTGATGTTTTTGAGAAGAAAAAAAGTGACTTCCTTATATGCATATTTTTTCTTAGGTATATAAATTAGTTGCTAAGTACACTCATAATAAGCTTAAGGAGAATTATGAATTATAGAAGGGAAGGCTCTTATAAAATAAGCTCACAGTCATTCTTCTGGAAAATAAAACTCACAATTTCAATATGTAAAATTGACACATAGTTGCAGATACTAAACATTTGGTATTCTAAGAAAAAATTACTTTAAATTAGGCACAGAGGAATTTCACATGACACCAATAAGATATTTACTGTATAAATTGCACCACTAGACAAATACGGCTACAAGAATTCATTTGAATAAGCACACAGCCATCGAAGTATGTCACACGTTCATTATAATTCACTCTTTCACACTAGTTTATATACACTGAGTAAGTCATTAAATATTGCACTTATTGGCCCATGAACCCTCAATTCTGAGGTTTTGAAAAATAGAAAAAAAGTCTATTTTTAGAACATATTTCATGCAACATTTAAGACATTTCAGTTCTACAAACACCATTAAATAGTTGTACATTTGGACAGTCCAACTGTATCACGTCACATCTGACATTAACAATATATTAACAGGAATTACAGGACAGTTCTCATTCAGCACACCTCCTAGGGATGATGAGATTATGTGTGGGAAGTCATCACAGTGACACAGCAGACATCCCCAGACTTCACTTTGACAAAGACTATGGAACCAACAGTCAGATGTAGGTCATGCTTATGTCCCTGAAAAGCCAGTTTTCTATCTGTCTCATACACCACCTGCATCTGTAAGAACAGCATTCACGAAACTAAGCAATCCTTAGCTCCAAACAACATGGTATGGAAATATTTTATTAAGTGACAAAGCCACAGCCAACTCTCAGTTGTCCACAGTGAAGGGAGATATGAACACAGGTAAATGAAATACATTGGTAACTCCCAAAGGCAACAATAGTTGCTGAAAGGAGATAAACGGTGAAACTTGAGTCTCAATTCCTTTTCTTGGTTTTGTTGTTCCATGAGGATAGTGCTTTAAAAATGAAATGATTTAAAAAAAAATCAGGAAATAGGACAGAAAGACACAAAGAGAAAGTTCAGTTTGTCCACTAGCCAGGTGATCTGATCTTAACACTCAAGCTCTGTGTGAGGCTTTGAAACCATTCATTTCTACTGTCTAGAGTGCTTGCAGAATGTATTTTCTCTCCACCCTCTCTGTTTAATGGGGATCCATACAGGCATAGACCTGGACTAATAGAATCAGTGTGAAGAATCTATTTCACAGTCCTTTTAAAACAAGATGTGAGTTTCAGTTGGCACGTAGCAAATGCTCCCTTTTCCTTAGCATGGAGAAAGCACCATAGATGGAATTTTCCCTTTACTAAGAAAGGTATCATTGGTTGTAAGTGTGTGTTGGGAATTGTAGCACTGTGTGGCCCAAGAGCAAATATTTCCATCGACCAAAGGGAACCATGATTTAACTAGTGTGTTGAGCATTTCTAGGCAGGTTTTAAAAATGCATTTATTTATGAAATACCCATAGCAATAGTTAAATACATTTTCGGTAAATCTCATCAATCTGTTTGTGCCCCCTTAGGGGATACTGTATTTCTAGAATCTATGGCCTTTTAGGGGTAAAGACATTTTTGTGGGGGTGGTTTGGTCATTAACATGATCTTCTATTCAATTTGTTCCAGTGAATTCAGGGATAAAATAGGCTGATGTCTGCAACTAACTTTGGTCAAAAATTCATGTAAAATAGAAAGCAATCCAAAATACTGGCCCTAATATTAAAAGGTTTAGTACATCAGCAAGATGTCAACATTTTATTGGCAAACTATTAAAGGGCAGGTAGCGTTCACAAACAGGAAGAGGTGAGTGGAGCTAGAGAGGCTGCATTTAACAAAGTGGTTAGCAAGGCCATGTGAGCATGGCTTCTCAATACACACCCAAGAACAGAGTGACAGGGACCCTCATGCAATCTGTCATTTAGAGAGAAAGGGTTCATCAGACAGACTGGCTAGCTCCCACATATGCTGCACCAAAAACATCTGATTGAGCATTCTGACCATGCCATGAACATTATCAACAGACTAATTTGTTGGTCTAAAATAGTGTTGGCCATGATGTTAGGATTGATGCCACAGTTTTTCACATGCAGCTGCTACCTCGTCTTGGTAGAGTTTGGATACATTTTTAATACAGGTCCACAAATACTACACAGTTAACTAAAAGATTGTAGGACAACCTCAGCCATGCACTCAGATACATATGGATAAAACACATCACAGTGAACCATTGATTATGAATTAATGTTGCTTCATGGAAATTCAGTTAATAATAGAATGCATTTTGATATTTCAAAAGACCATTGTATACCTGAATGTCTATCAGCAAAGCTGTTACAATTGGAAGTTTAAATTGGCTCATAAACATGATTAATGTGCTAAATAAACAAAAGACCTATAATTGATCTGGGTAAGAATGAAGGGAAATATACATTTGTTTACTGAGTGCATTGTTATCGTCTATAATTTGAGTTGTAATTTTGTTGGATTTATATTTTACATTTATCATCACAATGCTACAGCTTTCCAAAAATGAAGGCATCACTACAGCCCTTTTTCCAAATAAAAATCTTAGCATTTTTTTACCAGGTAGCAAAAGATACTGAATTGAAAGTGACCCAAAGGGGGAACTATGTGAACCTCTTACTTCTTAAAGTCATTAGAAGTTCATGATGGCAGTAGAAGCTGCTTAGTGGGGATAACAACAATGAACTGATTCATTGTTTTGAAGTAATTCTTCTGAGCCCATGGATGTGAAGCCAGTGGTTAACCTATCATCTTAGGGCTTAACAACACCTCATGCACCTTCTGTGCCCATTCATATTCCCAAAGTTTGCAATGCTGATTCACTCCACAGACGACTAATTCAATGAAACAATTTTTCATCCAATTTCTCACTTGCATTAGGAAAGGGAAGGGATGTACTAACACCAAAGTTCTTGGAAGCATCTCCATGAAGTAGTCAGGGTTTATTCATAAACCTATTTTGAGAAGTGGGGGTGGCCAGGTGATGTGTAGCAGGGGAAGAGAAAAATCATTCTTGAATTTCTAATTTAACTACATCAAAGAGAACAAGAGATGATGTCCAGGATTTACAAACTAACACATATTTTTAAAATGTGTCTTGTTCCTTTAAATAAAAATTTAGTTAGGTCATTGGTGAAAAGATGACCTGTAGACATTTAGGTTGTCGGCAAGTGGAGGGGTAGTGTGTATGTGTGTACATATGTCTAGTGGCCAAAAGGCTGGAAAACCTTGGGCAAAGTGCTACAATTTGTAAATAATTCAACTCAATGCCAATAGAAGCTCACTTAACGAACCCTAGGCTGTTTTCTCTATTTGCCAAATTTTTACTTTAAAGGCAAGATATCTGGATGCAATTATGAGTAAAGAGCATTCTTTCTCTGTCAGGAATAGAGGTGCTCTGTTTTTGAACTCTCTGATAACTGTTTCTGGAAACTTCATTGAGTTACTTGGAATGAAATTCACAGCAGAATGGGTGCTTCAGAACTGAGAATCAATTAGGAAGGCTCTACTCCCATGGGGTTTGAAAAGGACAAAGTATTGGGTGTTCCTTTGCAGTAATGAGTAGGCCATTATTGTAGCACTCTTTCTGACCGGCACACAGAGAGGTCCAACTTTAGGACATTTGACAGTACAAGTGGGCACTTAATTCTGCTCTCCTGGTCCAAAGGTCAATTAATTCTAATAGCAATCAGTTCTTTGGGGAAAGAGTTTTCAAAGTTGGCTGTTTCCCTTTTTCACCCTTTCTCATTTTGTTTTCCACAGTAAAACAATATACATATTAAGGTTCATCTGAAATATCCGATCTAGGGCTTTTCCATGTGAGTTATGTATGGGACAGGGGCTATGAGGAAGAAAGAGAAGGATTTCCCACTTTTACTACCTCACAGTAGATGGGAAAAGTAAACTTAACAGCTTATTTCACTTAATATGGCCATGTTCTGGCTCAAGTTATAAAAGCACGATAATGTCATGCTAACAGACTACCACGGCAGGTCAATCTCTTCTTTATGCCCCCTGCTTATTTTTTCTCTTCATTTTAATTTCTGCATTTGTGAAGCTGGCTGCCCTATTAAAATCTAATAAAACATTAAATATTTTTTTCTCTATAAGTTAAGCTTGCCTTGCAGGGAGCCAAAGTAGAAATTTATGGTCAATTAGTGAATCTGAAACTAAGAAGATGAGAAATAACATGGATATGCTTAAAACACTCCAAGTGCTCTTCACCATAATTTTCATCTTTTATGTTATTAATAGTGTGTGGGGGCTATTTCCCTGACTTATGGAAGTATTTCTCCAGAGATATATTTATATTTATTTTTCTATCAAAACTTTTGCATAATAACCTTGCAACCTATATTTTTACGAAAATCTTTCCTATTTTTGAAAAGAAAGGGAAACATTTAATATAATGACCAAGAAAAAAAAGGAAGCCCACCTAATGGAACTGTCCTCATAAATTTGCTGAACATTACCTGCTGCCCTCCTAAAATCCTAGCTGTAAATAACGCTAGACATTGACGTAAATCCTGAGTTCCCCGCCGGTGCTCTACAAAGGTCGTGGAAATTGTTGTTTGCTTGCTATTTATACATGTCTTCAGGATATCTGGGATAAAAATATGGATGCTCAAAAATTTTTCTGGTTCTCTCAAACTGGTATTAATCCTAAATGCTTCTATCGCTCTCAGCTCTGAAGCTGTTTAATGTAAACATTTTTAGTGACATATAGGCGATATGCGTGATTGAAAAAATTTTGTATGAAAATCATCTTCAAATTGGGATCCAATGAAATATTACTCAAGTAGCTTCTTGTTGGGAGCCGCTGAAGCTGGAAAATAATTACACGTGCAGGATAAAGCCAGCCTAAAATCACGGGAGCTCCTCGGAGTAAACAAGCCCCTCCAAGTAAACAAGCCTTTGTAACTTGTTAACTGGTTGCTGGGCAGCGAGACAAAAATTAACCAACCTCTCCCGGGTATAAAACGCTTTACTGTTTGGGGGCAGTCCTTTTTCTCATACCCATCGCCGTTTCTCTCCGGGGTACAACGAGAGACCAACGAGGTTCTCTACAGCTTCTAAGTAGGTAGAAGAACATAGTTGAGGTTTAATCATGGGGCAGTGTTTGGGGAAGCAAATCAACATCCTACAGGAATAGGAGCCCTAACAAGCTTCAACCTAATGCCTGTTTCCAGAGCTGGTGGTTTCCAGAAAATGATGGTGGTGGTGGCGGCTGTGGTGGTGGCAGTGTGTGTTATGGGGATGGGGAGAATCATTAAAGAAATCTGGGAACACAGGCCTTGGAATTCCTCAGCCAGCATAACTGGCTTTCATTCAGTATACATCTGCTTGTTCAGTGCTCTAAAATATTCAGAAAGTTGGGGAGACTCATCGGAAAGTGCAGACCTGGGTAGGGTATTTGCTTATTTAACATATACACTAAAATTACTGTTTAAACCTACTTCCAGTCAGGTCAATGTTAATGACTTAAGGAAACTTGTAAGGGCCTTAAAAACAATATTTCAATTTCTTTAAAGTCAGTGGTTTCCTTGGTTGTCAATGAGTGGAAAATCGATACATTTCCTCATAGTGAACTATGACAGTGTCCCTAATCAAGAGCAAACACTCCCTTTGCTTTTCAGTTAAGAGGAAAGCAAAAGTCTCCTGATATACCCCACACACACATACACATAACAGCAATTCCTTCATCATCATCCTAACAAGTAAATAGCATAATTTGAATCTCTGACACACAAGTCAGTTGTCAATTATTCGTTGAGATCTCAGCAGTAGTGTAACTAAGAGAAAATTTGGAAAAAAGAAAAGAGCCTTTAAGACAAGTAAAAAACAAGTCACATGCAAGTACCAGATGTTTATAGATGGATAGTCCTTACGTATTTGAGATCACATATTTGCCACATATAAACAGAATCAATCTCCCAAGATTTGAATGCGTGTACGGGCCATTGACATCAAAGACTTCCTTCAAATAATTATTAGGCAGTATAAGTGAAGGCTAATAGACCATTTATAAATGCTGTTTCTTGGCAACCAGAGCCCTCTGGAGCTGCCCGTGTGTGTGTGTGTGTGTGTGTGTGTGTGTGTGTGTGTGTGTGTGTGTGTGTAGACATTAACAGCCGCAGTTGGGCTGTGGCGGAGGAGGCGTTTCTTTGAGTCTTGTGCTCTGCTTTGCGGCAGTGATGGCTGGGTCGCTCTCCAAACTCTCTGACATTTTGTCACAGATGATATCCACAAGGCGCTCAAATGTTTGCTTGACATTAATATTATCCTTGGCACTTGTTTCGAAAAACTCAAACCCTGGAGGAAACACACAGAAACACAGCTCGATCATTTCACATTTTTGAAATTAAGCGGGAATTGGATATGGTGTGAATGGTAACAAGGGGATGATGGCTCAGCCATGTGTACTTTGGCTGAGAGATCACGGTGGGCTTGAGATGCCGCTGGAGAAATGCTACCATCTTGCTACCCCTTGACCATGAACAAAATAGCTATGAAAGCAGAATCAGTGATACACATTTCATTTTTCCCTACTGATTCATTTGTGCTATCAACATAGCTGAACATATTTTAGAATATTCCTTTGCAAAATGTAGTAATAACAACATTGAGAATCCTTAACAGTGACCCTATCTTTGCTGTTGCTTCCTCCCACACCAGACCTCTCATGGAGCCACGTGCAATCATTTCTAAAACTGGCATTATTCAGCATTTGTTTCTTATCCCAGTTTCGCGTTCTACCAAAGTTGCTTTCATTTTTCATCCTCTTAAGGGTTAGAAGACATTATGTGCATATTCTCCTGAAAATAAGCCTGTCATGTTGTGCTATAACCCAGCTCCAGCATTTTCTGTGTGTAGCTAGCTGCCCCGGGGTGGTTCTGAAGGGGCTTCAGTAAATTTTCAGTATCTGGTAGGACACAAGGTGGCATTGAAGAGCCATAGGTGTTACTTAAAGCCTGCTTCAGTTTCCTTTAGGGTATTTTTGAAGGATGTCAGTGTAATAGACCTCTGGGCTTTTGTATATCACTGAGACAATCTACTCGGTGCTGATTTTTCCATAGCTTCAGCTATATACCAGCAGCACTGATTTTAAACCGATAACTTGGTTTATTTCAAATGGGCAGCCAAATTTGCAAGGGATGGTCTCGCAAGTCTGTTGTGTCCCTGTACCTGCGCAGAAGCAACCTCAGTCTGCTGCTGTACACAGCATCTTATCACTCTATTGTTTGCTTTCACATTCCACTGGCAGAGCTTGCCATCAGTTTCCATGACAACTTCCCCACCAGGCCAGCCAGAGATTGCTCTAGTCATGCAGGGGATGTTGATTTAGGATGTGTGGGGCTGAACACAGAAAGGCTTTCTAATTCATTCTGAATTTTACACCCTATAAATCTGTCTGGTTACATCTGGCCCTATCTCAGAGGACCAGATGGGTTGGAAATGATTAAATCAGGTGGTTTCATCTCAACTTTTGGGTCTAAAGGAGAAAGAATAGATTAATACTTTGCATCTATGCCATAATTGCTCACATAATCTAGAAATATTATATTTTCCTAAATAGTTTTGAAGTTAAGGCAGCAAAAATCAGCTCTCAAGAGTCAAAATTTTTAATTATTACACTATTTGATCAGATGACTAAATGTGAGTTAGAATTTTGGTAACTATTCTGTTGTTAAAAATCAAAGTGAGTAACTACCAGATTTCACTAAGGGAAACATCATTAGAGCCATGCACTAGAAAATAGATGTGGCTATTTTGAACTGTCTTTGCTTTATATATCTCTTTCATTTTGTATCTCTGGACAATGATTATGTAGTTCTCTTATAGCCTGCGTTATTTTATCTAGAGCTAAGGCAATCTGACATCCACAGAGCTCTGTTTGTACTATTTATAAGGCTCGAATGCTTGCTTTTCAACAATTGGAGCCAGGTTTGAAGGAGGGCAAGTTTGGATCTAAGTAGTGCAACTGCTGCTTAGATATCATAACTACTGTATTTGCACCTTTTGGGGGGATTTTCTTTGTACTAATGGGAAGATGCTTCATGTCACAAGACACTAGGAACCCACGGAAGAAGTCAAGAGCCCTAGATGAAACTGGGGAAAAATAACTTCAGAATTTGTTACCAAGGTATTATTATTTACAGGTTCATTTCTCTCATCTCTTTCCCCAACCTCATGTGTTAGCGTGTTCTGGAAGGCACTAAACTTGTAAGTTATCAGAAAAGACATAGCCATTGTTAAAAGGTGGTAATTTGCAGAAGCATTTATCAAATGTGACTCTTTTAATCTGGGGATCAGGTCACTATACTGGTGTACAACTTGAAGTCAGTAAAATGCCACTTGATTACAAACACCAGGATACGCTCTACTTCTGTACCTCAATCTGGAACTCAAATCCTCACAAGATGGTGTTCCAGGAAAAGAATACCATATTATAACAGCACCATTTTCCCAGAGTGGCTGGAAAGGAGACCCTAATATGGTAAGAAGGATAAATTATCAACCAAATTATAATGACTTACTAGCTAGACCTAAGCAAGTCACACTTCTAATCTACTTTTCTTATTTATGACATTTGCCTTACTTATCTTACAAGTTTATGATGAGGCTCAAGTAAGAAAATGTGGGTAAAAGTACCAAACAAATTGGCAAGTGCTACAGTAATAGTAACAAGAAGTCAGCATTTATTGAGAGCTTGTTATTGGAGCCATTCAAAGCACTTTGTACTTTCATAACTCATTGTATCCACGAGTAGGTGCTATTATTTTCTCCAATTTACTGATAATAAAATGAAAGCACAAAGGAGCTGTGTAATTTGTTCAACCATTCCTCGCTGGGCTAGTAAGTGGCAGAGCCAAAATGCGAATGACTAACCTATAGACTTTTCTGCTTCTCCATTTCCCCGGCAGAAGGGAGCTACTGTTTTGTCCTAGATAACTTGTAGGTTCTATATTATAAGTAATCACAGCATATACCATAAGCTTTTATCAGGTTAACTAATTGGAAGTGATGGCCAAGATTTAACACTGTCAGTAAACCTACTGAAAGCATCTTTTTCATGATTCCAAAGAGTCTGTGAGATTTGGGGCTGCTTAAAATTCATCAAGATGGCCATGATGACAGCTGTACCTCTATGGAGAATCACAGATTTATAGACATAAAAGGTTCTAAGTGTTCCACTGGTTGTCATTGAGGCTGGTCCAAGTTTTCATAAAATGAGATATTCAAGGACAAAATCACAATCATTAGTATTTTATCATTTAGTTGTTTAGATTTAGGAAAAATGAAAGCTTACTGTGCAGTATATAACTCTCTATCCAGGTGAATCAGTGTCTTCAAACACTTGTGTGTTTTCTCTGCACTTAAAAATGTCATGGGTATTTGAAGATCATAACCACACAGACAACCGCTGTCAACTTTATTCATCTACTAACTCAGGAGACTGTGCGGCTGCTGTCTCCCAGTACCTCAGCATATTAAAAGAGAAATCTTTGTCTCCCATTCACACATGTCAGTATCTGTGGGAAGCCAGGAAGCCAGTCAGCGATGCTTTAGAAACTGTCTTCCTTATAAAACTTTGAAGACTGCTACCAGTTTACTGTGTAGCAGGACAGTGAGGTTCAGCAAGATCAGATAAGTAGCCCAAGGTCACACAGCAAGTTGACTGTCAAATTTGACAAGGATCCCCTGCTAAATAGGTTACTGATGTAGCTTCCAGGCTTGGACACCTGTCCCTTACCCATTGTCTGCTGTCAATACTTTTGGCACACATGTTTTCAGCAACCAGTCAGTGAATACTTTCTAGAAGCTCTGACTGTGTTCTTATTTCCCCCTTATAACCTTTCTGATTTCTGTCTGGCAGAGGCAGCATTGCTCCTACGTTGAATGAGCACCGTGCCATGGTCCAGCACATCTCTATTTTAGGCTTCCTCATGCCTCATCCTGAAAGCCGTACCTTTCTAAAAGCCGTCCCAGGCACAGCAAGACACTCCTCTATGCATGACTTTTTGCTTCAGGTTCTCTTGGTGTCATGAAGTAGAATCTTGGAAGGATTTTTAGAACAATGTGTAAAGAAAGAAGGGGAAAACCAAAGCTAACTGTTTGCCCCCTTTTTGATGTGCAGGTCAAAGAGGCAGCAGAGAGAGGGTGCAAACCAGATTCCACTTGAGGGGCCAAGAGGAATGCTCCTCTATCCTAATTTCATGGCACTGGCACCCCACCTGCACTGGAATCACCTGAAATGCTTGAAACCGTCTAAACTCCAGCCAAAACATTCTGAACTTGAAACGGTGATGGGGTAATGGTTCCATATTTTAACAGGTTGCTCGGGTTTCTCATGCATATGAAAGGGTAAGATTCACTGTCCTTGGTGCACTCGTGTTCATAGCAGCATAATGAAAAATAGAGAAAAAGGAAACAGGTGACCATAGACCTATGAATGGATAAATAAAACATGATATACACATGCAGTAGCAGTTTTTTAACTGTAGAAAAAGGAAAATTTGATTCATGTTACTATATGGATAACATTTCAGGACACTAAACTAGGTGGAATAGACTAGTCCCCAAAAGAAAAATACGATGTCATTCTACATGCAGGAGGTATCTAGAGTAGTTTACTTGACAGAGGCATAAAGTAGAATGGAGGTTGCCATAGGGTGGGGGAAGAGGAAATGGGGAATTCATAGGCAGACAGTTTCAGTTTCACAAGTGAAAAGAGTTCTGGAAATTGGCTGCACAAAAATGTGAGTGTACTTGACCCTATTGAACCATATACCTAAAGTGAATACGAAGGAGATGTTTACATTATGCATATTTAAATACAATTGAAAGTATTCATGATCTTCATACACTACTGAAAGAAAAATCAAATGATGAAACCTTCTTGGAAAACAGTCTGGCAGTTCCTCAAACTGACCCCTCAATTCCTCTCTTGGCTATACCCTCAAGAGAAATGAACACTGAAGTTTACATAAAACAGTGCGCACAAATGTTGAGAGCAGCATTAGTTATAATAGCTAAAGTGTCAGAACAGTCCAAGTGTTCACCATCTGTGGATGGAGAAATAAAATGTGGCATATCCACATGGTGGGATATTATTCCCCCATAAAACGTGATAAAGTACCGATACATTCTACAGTGTGGGTGAACATTAAAGAGAATATGCTAGGTAAAAGAACCCAGGCGTAAAGGACCATATATGATATGATTCATTTTATCTGAAATGTTCAGTACAGGTGAATCTATGGAGACTGGGTGTTCGTGGTTACCTGGGGGCAGTTAGAGAAAGAGGAGCA